TCAGTCTTGCAAATGGCTCGTAGCCATTGGAATCTTCCAGACTTTGTCACGATAGCCGGCGCAAATGTGTCACTTTATTGAGGGTGTGCTTATCTTTCTTCTGTAGAGAACCTCAGTACCCTGTAACGAGGAGATACTCTTGCTATCTTAGTGCTCCTGTCAGCAGTCTCGCTGGCTGCACAGATGGTATCAGCAGAGTAAAAAACCTTAAGCTTTCAACTCAAGTCTTGCTTTAGCTGATAAACATGGAATCACATCTCTGTAGCTGAGGGCAGCGCCTAGCCTCGTGGAGCCAGGGTACATGTCCAGAGCGACATCCTGGCAGCAGCTGAAGCAAGAGCTGTCACTTGCACTGTTAACATCTACAGAGTCCTGAGTCTGACCGAGATTAACGGTTGCCAAAGCACGGTTTTTTGTCTCAGGAGCCACAGGTCTGCCATGCACTCGCTCAGCATTAAGTAATGCGAGAGGGACTTCAGTTTTTAATGTCGCCACTTTTCCTCGCAGGAGCTGACCCTTCTCTGCTTGCAAGCCTCAGCAGCCAGGCCGGGAGAGCTGCCCAGACCAGAGTCCTGAGTCTGACCGAGATTAACGGTTGCCAAAGCACGGTTTTTTGTCTCAGGAGCCACAGGTCTGCCATGCACTCGCTCAGCATTAAGTAATGCGAGAGGGACTTCAGTTTTTAATGTCGCCACTTTTCCTCGCAGGAGCTGACCCTTCTCTGCTTGCAAGCCTCAGCAGCCAGGCCGGGAGAGCTGCCCAGACGAGTCGTTCGCCGCTCACCACTGTTTTTGTACAGGTTTTCCTGGACCGGCTGCTACTTGCTGCAGTGACAGGAGCTGCGCTGGGCTCGCCTCTCATGTTGGTTTGTTTGTGTTTGCAGAGATACAAGGCAGCGAGGCATCGTGCCACAGCTGCCTACCCCGAGGCTCCTTTGCGTTCCCAGGGCTCCAGCTCCCAATTGCTGGATGATCTGAAACAGCCTCCTGCTACCACAGCAGATACCGGGAGGAAGATGAATGATGGTCATGGGATAGACAAGGAGGGTTCAGCCCTGCAAGAACAAGCCTCGAGGTCTCCGGAGGGTAAGGGTGAGCTGGCCACCTCTGTAGCAGAGGGCAAAAGCCTAGCCAGCGTGACTGACGATGTCTGTGGAATCATGGTTGTAGAAGAAGAAAACCTACAGGAGGAGAGAGAGCCCACTACCGCTAGTGCCGATTGCCCGCTCCCTGAAGAGAACCGCACTGTAGGGGAGCTGTTGGGACACGCTGTGTCCAAGGAGGAGGAAGCCAATGCAGCCAGGCAAAGGGGAGGCACAGATGACTGCCAGGATCCAGGGAATGGGGGGGGTTTAGGACAGAATGAGGCAGCAAAGACAGGCCAGGAGACAGCGGCAGAGCCTTCCTCCCTAGCCAGAGGTGAGACAGCCAGTCTTGCCTCTGCCGGGTGCCGATACTCTACTAGGCGCAAACCCAGATAGAGTGGCCTTAAAGGGAGAGCCTTTACATATGATATTTGCTGGAAATGTTTATTTTCTGAGTCTTTTAATAGAGCAAAAACCTTCAACTTTACTGCTGTTTTTATTTTAAGAATAAAATAAGCCTGGCTTTAGCGTGTCTAACACAGGATGGTGTTGGTTATTACTTGTACAGTTGGGACGCAGCAGGTATGTGGAAAGCCTGAGGCTTGGGTTCTTGAACTTGAAAGAAGACAATAAGGTGATTTCCGTAGGGAACACAGTGAAATTGATGGATGCAGACCTACTGAAAAACAAGAATTCTTTGTCATTCCTTTTTTGTTTGCTGTCCAGGCAGAGGAAAAGTTAATCTCTTGGGAGACCGTGTGCCCATGCTGCTCCTCAGAACAGTTTCCTTTCAAAGATGCACACCCTCGGACAAGCACTGTGTCCTAAGCTAGGCAAGAGTGTGCATCTTGGTCCTTTGTTAACGCTACAAGACTTAGTACAGCCTGTTCTCATAGTGGAGACTCTCAGGAACAAATTTTGGTTTGAACTGATTTTAATAAAACACATTTCTTAGAAATAACTATTTTAACTTTCCAAAGAACTCCTTTAACAATGCAGAAGTAGGACAGTAACACTTGCTTCACAGTGCTGGCCCCGGGCCCTCCTCACAAGATCACAGTTTCAGACCAGAATGCTCATGCGTACTCCTGTCAGAATACGCACAGGGAGGGCTCTACTCCCAGCCCACGGCAGGCAGGCCCCTCTCTTGGCTCTGCAGAGCTCATGCTGTGGTGGGAGCGAACCAGGCTGCTCTGCCTCTCTAAAGCCCGAGTCCTTATGGGCAGCTTCCAATTATAACGGTAAAAACCATCACCCTGGTAGCTTCTCTCAGAAAGGGACCAACACATCAGTGACCTGGGACCATCTGCCAATATTTCTCACATCCCAGTGAATAGGTGGGAAGCTGCAGTTTTAAGGCAGGAGCTGGGTTAGGGCCCACCCCTCAGAGTCTGCCACCAGAGTTACGCTTGGGCACAACCCTGGAGTGAGGACAGCCCCTGCCTGCTGTGCTTTCTGAGGGAAGAGGCTACAGCAGTAACACTCCTTGCTTGGATATAACAGTGCAGAAGAGCAGAGAGCACTCTTCCTCTTTGTGAAGAGGGCCGGCTTGCAAACGGCCTGCATGGCATCGGGTTTCCCGACCAGCTTTAACTAGGTGTCAGTGCCAGGCTGATGCTGGGGAGCAAAAGGAATCTACATCCACCTGTGTGCTGCTGCACCTATCGACAGCTACAGAGAAACACAACATGGCAGGACACAGCCACAGGAAGGAACAAGTAACAGGCATGAGGTACCTCTTCTGTTAAAGTTTTACATTAAATCAACGACCAGTAAATGCCTCCGTAGCAATACCAACAGAGAGTCTGTGGCCAGCATGCTAGGCAGGAGGCTGTGAGCCCTGCGCATCAGCTTCCGTGTTCTGCTGCTCGCTCTGCTGCTGGAACTCCAGGCGGGCCTGGCGGTTGGACTCCAGCAGTTCTTTCAAGCAGGCGTGTAGAGAATCGTTCTTCTCCTCCAGGTAATCCAAGCAGGAGTCGATCTGGTCCAGCATGGAGTTTATTGCTGCATATTCTGAAAGAAAGGGAAATAGAGATTGAAAAACGTCAGTACTGTCCCTGCAGTCAGCGAAGGCAGTGAGAGCTCTTGCAAAACATACCCACAGGATTTTGGTTGTGCCACCAGGTGTGCAGAGTAAACCAACTGAACCCTGCACATGTTGTCTTAACCGATTAAATGAGACGAATGGGAAGCTGGAGGACTGGTAGCAAGAGCTAAGGCAAGGTAGCGTGGGCAGCCCAAACTGCTCCTGCCCATACTGACAGCCTTTGACCTCGTCCATAAATAGCAGAGCGCAGGCCGCGTGCTAGTGTGCAGCCGTCCGCGTTGCAGCGGTGCAAATAAACCCCAAGGACAAGGTAGCCTTTTTAGCTGCCTTGGGGATCATCTTTCCTGACGAGGGTGCAGGCATTTTGGCAGCGTGCCGAAGTGTTTACTACATCCTGGGAATTATTTGTGTAAGGCTCCCAGGCTGAGACGTGCTTCACAAGGGCCTGGCTGGGGTCAGAAGCAGCACGCTGCTGTGGCAGGAGCAGGGATGAGCCCAAAGGTGCTGGTAGTAGCACCTTTATTTCTAAAGGGAGGTAGGCGTGGGGCACCAGTTCAGCCACAGGATTTTTATGCACCGTTAAGGCTTTGGGTACTTCAGATTAAGAGCAAATGCAGTTGGGATAAGCCTGACGGTTCCCTAGGTGCAGTTTCTTATTCCCAGCCTTTGCTTCAAGTGCAGAAGTGTTAGCCTCAGTGCGATGGCATTTCACAGTGATGTGTGTTAATGCCGTTAATCAGATGAAAGTAGCTGTGCTAGCGTGATGAAACACTTGCTTTTGGGCTGCTCCTGGCAATATGCTCACAATCCTAAAGAGTAACAAAAAAACATCCTGAAAAACCTGACAAGGTAACGCTCTGCTGACAAGTTCCTCAGGAACACCGAGGAGTTACAGGAGATCCCAGGCAGAGCCAACTCCTTTCCAAAGCCAACGGGCTGAGCGAGCGCAGGGAGGCAGGCATCGAGCTGTGACCCCATGGGATGACGTCTGTGAGGATGGTGGGCTGCAGGACAGGGAAAGATGCCTGCATGGGTGGGACAAGCCCACACCTCACCGTCTGGGGCTGGTTCCTCTCCGCCTGGCTCCTCTGAGCAGCTGGGGGAGCATCGGAGCCAAGCGTGACGCATGCAGTGCCTGGCTGGAGCACTGCTCTGAGCTAACAGCATCTAGAGAATGCGAGGAGGATGAGGATGTGCTCTGGGCACACTTGTCTTCTGGACGAGGGTTAAGCCGTGCTGAAATCCTCCAGCCTCACAAGCCCTTCTCAGCTGCCCCCTTAATGCTTTTGTGGGCAGGGTGCCCAGAGTCCCCACACCCCAGGCCCAGAAGCTGCCACTACCAGCAGCTTTAAGAGAACTGTGAATATTTAAATATTGCCATCGTTCACATTCTTAATAGCTAAGGAGAAGTTTCATTATAGAAAAAGATTTGTCCTCCTCTTCTTACACTGCTTGGGAGCCTTTTGCCACAGTGTTACAGCCTTTAATTCTTTAGACAACTGCATATGTTGCAGTTCAGCTGGTTTATAACAGTATGGCCTCGCCGGTACAGGCAGAGGTGGCATAATGAGCGAGAGCACTGCTGATGTCCTTGCATTTAAAAATCAATCCATTCTTTCCAAAAAGGCAGCTGTTACCAGTATTTTGCAAAACCTGTTTCAAGGTCTGGGATACCTGAATGTCCATGAGTTAGAGCTCTTCATTTCAACCTAGTGTTTGACGCACCACATTCCAGCTGCAGGGTGAGCAGACCCCAAGTAGATAGGGTTACTGCCTCTGACAAGTAACAATATTCATTAACTTAGAAGTCTGTAATCACAGCAGCAGCCTAATTGTTCTCCATGTCTAGAGCTCAAGTGAAGGCTATTCAACTTGTGCAGCTTTGGGAAGTAGAAAAAAAAAAAACATTTTAAAACTAAAAAAAAGCTGTAAAAACATTTTATTTGATTGCCTTCTGTTAGTTGCAGGCTTGGTGTATTTTTGTGGAAACTTAACCACATCCTCTAATGAAAATGTTGACCATGAGTATGGCAGTTGCGTTGTTTACTACTCTGCATTGTTACAAGAACGGTTGCCAAAAATAAGGTTTCCTATTTGAGATCAAAGAAGCGATCCACAGCTTCAGCTCCACGGGACCAGGAAATAGCCACAGACCTTTATGACCAGCTACTGCACACAAAGCCCCAGCTAATCACAGGCGGAACAACTCGATGTAAATCAGATTTAGTGACTGTCACATCCACTGTGTCTCAGCTCTTCAGAAAGTCTGAAACACAGATCACCGTGATGATGTAAAGCAATGAACACTCCTGTGGCGTTTCAGGGCAGAAACTGCAGGTGGATCACAGCCACAACTACGAGATTCACCTACGCTGTTCACATCTGGTGTCTGGGTAACAGCATGACCCAACTCCTGACCATTTTCAAGAGATGAGCAGCAGAGTGCTTACTCTCTGAAAGATGTCCAGTTTTAGGAATGACCCGTATACATGCATTACAGCCGTTTTCTCACTTCCTCCATCAGCCTTCTGGACAGCACAGCATCAGAAATTCCATACTTAGGCACTGCAGAGATGTCCAAAAGTGGAATTTGCCAAGCTAATCGCATCAAATTCACTTTTCCCACCCACGACTACCTCTCCCAGATCTGCCCACCTGATTTGTCCTGCGGTTCTGAACTCTTGACAGTTCTCTTTCTCCTCGGTCACTCGCACCAGCAAAAACGTGGACAGACCTTTTCCACTGGAGAAGCTCCAGCCCAGTCCCCTCACGGCAGCAGCCTGCGGGCACTCAGGGCCCATCGCTGGCAGGAACGGGCGCCCTGGCACCGGCCCCGCTTGGTTCCAAAACCCGCCCACCCCGCAGCCCCTCACCT